TAATAATCCTTACATTTGACAGAAGTGTTTTGAAGGAGTCTAGTGTAATGTACTTGAATGACTAGTGGTTAGCACAGAATACGTACTCCCTAAATAATATTGCTGACCATACTAAAGGACTAGAAAAAAAAATCCCAAGGAGCTACATGGTGCTTAATTCCACACATAAAAATCTGTAACAGCTTCAGGTGAAATTCTTACAAATTTTTGTGTGTAGAATTAAGCACCATGTAGCTCCTTGGGTTTTTTTTCTAGTCCTTTAGTATGGTCGGCAATATTGTTTAGTGGGCGAAGGATATGAACAGACACTTCTCAAAAAAAAGGCATTTATGCAGCCAACAGACACATGAAAAAATGCTCATCATCAGTTGCCATCAGAGAAATGCAACTCAAAACCACAATGAAATATCATCTCACACCAGTTAGAATGGCAATCATTAAAAAGTCAGGAAACAACAGGTGCTGGAGAGGATGTGGAGAAATAGGAATGCTTTTACACTGTTGGTGGGACTGTAAACTAGTTCAACTATTGTGGAAAACAGTGTGGCGATTCCTCAGGGATCTAGAACTAGAAATACCATTTGACCCAGCCATCCCATTACTGGGTATATACCCAAAGGATTATAAATCAAGCCGCTGTAAAGACACATGCACACACATGTTTATTGTGGCACTATTCACAATAGCAAAGACTTGGAACCAACCCAAATGTCCAACAATGATAGACTGGATTAAGAAAATGTGGCACATATATATCATGGAATACTATGCAGCCATAAAAAAGGATGAGTTCATGTCCTTTGTAGGGACATGGATGAAGCTGGAAACCATCATTCTCAGCAAACTATCACAAGGACAAAAACCAAACACTGCATGTTCTCACTCATATGTAGGAATTGAACAATGAGAACACTTGGACACAGGAAGGGGAACATCACACACCGGGGCCTGTCATGGGGTAGGGGGAGGTATAGCATTAGGAGACATACCTAATGTAAATGACAAGTTAATGGGTGCAGCACACCAACATGGCACATGTATATATATGTAACAAACCTGCACATTGTGCACATGTACCCTAGAACTTAAAGTATAATAAAAAATATATATATATAAAAAAAAAGAATTTCACCTGAAGCTAAGTAGGCACAGAATCCCTCTCCCCTAAACCAAAGACTGTCTTCCCTCAGGAATACTGAGCAACCATATTATACACTTGAGGTTTCATTTGCACCATTCAGGGCCAGTTAGCAAATAAGCAGCAACAATCAAAATGACACCTATTTGGAAGAAGACTATCTCAGTGTTTCATCAGCATGGGACCACCACTGAGTCACTGCCGGATGGAAACAAAATGTATTTTCTGCTAACAAATGCTGAGAACCTGAAAAATCAGGATCATTTCTGTCTTTCTGAGAATAGCAAAAGAAAGACAACTCAAGAGAAAAAGCCCATGTCGGACGCAACAGACCATCCGAGTTCTCTAGCACGTTAGCCATAAATGTCCTAGGAAATAATCTGTGATCACCACTTGCATTATGTGTTTCTCACTGTTGAGATATGGCAGTCTTAGATAAAAGGTACAAGTGCGCTGGTTCCGTTGACGTCGCGATGCCTTGGGGGAAGATATTTTAAAAGACGTTGATAGAAGACAGCAAAACTTTCCCATGGATGGGAGCAGGTACACGATGCCAGGCAAGGTAGGCATAATCCCAAAGGGAAGGAAGAGGAGTTCTGATTGGCTTCAGCTTTCCTGAAGCCCAGAAAGATCGGCTGGTTACAGCCAGAATCCGGCCCAGCATCTGAAACATCGCCGGAACGGCACAGCCAGGGCAGCTGGTACGCTTAGGAAACCCCCCACTGAAACTTGGAAAGCAGCCTTGAAATAATGATAATAATAAATAAGCAGCTGAAAAACCAATCTTGTGGGAGGCTGGAAATGAAACAGAATAATGAGAGCCTGGTGACCCATGAGCGTGGCAGTCACTCATCACAGAGTGTTCGACTTGCTGGAAGAATACATATCCTGGAACTGGGTCAGATGCCTGGTTCATGGGGTGCTGCCTGCAGCAACCCCAAGGGGCAGGACCCAGGAGGGTACAGAAGCTACACCTGACCTCAGTGTCAATACAAAGGCACATCCTAGTTTCTCTCGGTAGCCACTCCCAGTTCTGTCATTCATAAATTTGCCAAGACCTTTCTTAAATTATATTTATATATCCTGCTGAGACCACCTCTTGAGATAATGAGTTTTAGAAGATTATTACCTGCTGTGTTAAGCAGTACTTCCTTTCATTGGTTACAACAAGAAAAAGAAGAATTGGGGGTGAAACCGCACAAAGGCTAATGTTGCTTTTAATAAGGGACAATCTCTTATTGCAAAAGGCGGAAATATTCAACAGCCTGGAACTACCAGGCATTTAAGCAGCAACCATGAACTTGGGAAACTTAATGATTCAAAGTATTTTGGTTGATGAAAATCACTCAACGTGTGTTTATGAAAAACCATACTAGATAAAAGCATAATTTATGTTACAGTTACCTAGTTAGAAAATAGCTTACAGAGCATGGAGTCAAGCAATGTTTTCAATCACAAATCTCTGAGTTGATTGCAAATAACGCAGGGATCAGAGGTTGGTGAAAAACAGGAAAATTTGCTAGGAGACAGTGAAGTTAATACCATGCCTCTCTGCAGTGTCGGAAACTCCATAAAACCACTAGGAAAACGCACTACCAATCCTCAGTGGGCATGAAGATCCCACCTGCTGACTGAGCTACACTAAGTATCTAAACTAGGAGCAGTCCCATCAAACATAAATACCCTAACTGCAATATGGTACCATGGATTGATTCCTGGAACAGAAACGGGACATGAGTGGGAGAACTGGTAAAATCCAAAAAAAGTCTCAAGTGTAGTTAGCAGTAATGTACCAATATTAGCTTTGACAAATAGTTTTTCAAACACTTAGTTTGACAGTGACACTGTTATGTAAGAGTTAACATTGGGGTCTAGGCGCGGTGGCTCACGCCTGTAATCCCAGCACTTTGGAAGGCCAATGCGGGTGGATCACCTGAGGTCAGGAGTTCAAGACCAGCCTGACCAACACGGAGAAACCCTGTCTCTATTAAAAATAGAAAATTAGCCAGGCATGGTGGCACATGCCTATAATCCCAGCTACTTGGGAGGCTGAGGCAGGAGAATCACTTGAACCCGGGAGGCAGAAGTTGCAGTGAGCTGAGATCGCACCTCTGCAGTCCAGCCTGGGCAGCAAGAGCGAAACTCCATCTCAAAAAAAAAATTTTTGTGAAGAAAATACATCTTGTGAGTCTTCAGAGTCACTACACTGGGAGCTGGGAGTCAAATACATTATGCCTAATTTATAAGTTAAACTTCATATAACACAGGTATGTATGCACAGCCTCCGAGTAGCTGGGACCACAGGCGTGCGCCACCATGCCTAGCTACTTTTTGTATTTTCAGTAGAGACAGGGTTTCACCATGTTGGCCAGGCTGGTCTCGAGCTCCTGGCCTCAGATGATCCGCCTACCTCGGCCTCCCAAAGTGCTGGGATTACAGGCGTAAGTGACCGCGCCCAGCCCCCAGTGTTATACATAACAGTGTCACTGGGTTTCAGTCCTATCATCAGTTTCACACACCCACTGGGAGTCTTGGAACATATGCAACATAGATAGGAGGGTGGGGAACTACTATAACTTTACTCAGGTAATCACCATTCACTGACTTACTTAGGTGGAGATACATTCTTAGGCATGATCAGCAAGTTCATGAATAAAAAAAATTAAGTGCTTATTCAAGAAGATTACAGAGATAAAAAGGCAAGACAAGAAAAGATTAAGTACTTGAATAGCATCTAAAAGAAAGTCTATCAGATCTTTCCAACAGCACAAAAGGAAGAATGCCCTGAAAATATATTACTGATTAAAAGGTCTGAACCTTGGAGATTTGGGGAGAGATATCTATTTATTTAGAAAAATAAAGCAATGTGGTCACCCTAATAATAAAAAATTTGCCAAGAAAGATTTATGGAAATGCGACCTACTTAAATATTTCAGCAGGTTAGAGAAATCATCAAAATGGCTTACAATTGGACAATACTGAATTTTTACCATACTATGTCCTAGCTGAAGGTGCAAGCAATTATAACATATCTCCAATCAGAAGCCTGGTTTTGACACCTAGAAACAGATTCCATTTCCCAACCTCCCTCCATCACCAAAAACAAAACACATACTCAAACAGGACAACTGCTTTCCTACTGGCTCTAATCCATGTTGATCATTGGGTCCAGTTATTAGAAAACATTCAATCAACAACACATCCAAGAATTAAAAAGATTTTTAAAAGATCACCAACTGGTAAAAGAAAAAAAGAGCATTGTGTGGTTTCTGTTGATAATAAACCCAGTCTTTGTTTTTAATGAATTCATTCAGTGTGCACTAACTGATTATAAAAAGTGATGTATGAATGAGTCTACTGTGCATATACATTATAGGTTTTACATGCTTGCGAACAAAGACAAATATTATCGAGGGAAACAAATGAATAAACACAGGGAGGTGTTTATGGTTTTCGTTTAAACTCAGCCATTAGCAGAACAACCTGGGCATGTTGCCTAATCTGAGTCTTTTTCCTGACATGTGAATGAAATATCTAGATCCACTTTTTTGGAAGAAATTGTGTCAAACCAAGTGATAACCTTCAAACTCCATTAATCTGTGCCTCTAACTTACTGAAGGATAATATTCTAAAGGCCACATAAACACGGAGTTTGATAAATGACCCAGTTCTACATAAACAATTTTAAAGCAGAATTATTACTCAAAGACGGCTATATCATTAGCCTTTACTACTCGTGTAGATAATTACAGCCTTTATTTATATAATTTACCAAAGCTTCTTTGGGCCAGAATAATCTCAGATCTCTCTTGAGTGTTTCATAATCCCAACATCCCAAATTAAGGAAAATAGCCCTACTTACAGTTACGAATGTTATTCCAGTCGATTTTAGAGAAGAAAGGATGGCAGCAAAGACCTTCAAACTTCAGTCTCTCTTTCTGGCCACACAACAAACTTTGAATCAGATCAAGAAAGTCACTGCTCACTTTGGGGTCATCTGGAAACTTCAAAAACCGCTGTTCCAAAAAAACAAAAGAATTTCCTTAGCAGGGATTCCGTTTCTCATGCCTCAAAGTGAAGAAAGTATTTCTCATATATGCAAGTTTCTTTTTTTGTTGTTGTTTTTTAGAGAAGGAAGTTTCATGCCCTCTTCCCTCTGGACCAAAGGCATGTTCCCAAAATAAGTGGCCTGTTCACATCAATAGGCTTAGTTCCTTTGTAGGGGTTCAGCATCCTCCATGGCTTGACCCCGGCTCCCCTTCCCATCTCATCTCGCCACGCTCCCCATCTCTCTCTTTGCTGTCCAACAATGATGAGCTATTTAAAGCTCCCTGAACAAATCACGCTGTTCTCGCTGCTTTCCTTGGTTACCTTTTCTATCCTATAACTCCTTTCTGCATGTTCCCTCTGCACTCTACTTTTGCACCTACATATTGTGCTGTGATTTCAGTGTGATGAAAAATAAAGAAGGCAGAGAGGGCCTGCTTCTTCTGCTCATCCCTGTAAACCTGGTACCTAACAGCGCATGGTATGATAATGCACTCGTTATTGAATGATTGAATGAGTGAGTGAGCTAAAAGGAAGGAAATAAATTAGCTCCAAGAGTCATCTAAGGGGAAATTTTCACTCAAGAGGAGGCACAAGAATAACTAATAATGTATTTACATAAAAATATGTATTAAGCATTCCCAAAAGATGAAAACTGGGTGAGATACAAAAACCTAGGAAATACGTTCTTTTTCCTTTTGGTTCAAACTAAAAAATACACATTTATCAGAGCCTTAAGAAATGAGCTTCATGAGCTGGGCACAGTGGCTCATGCCTGTAATCCCAATACTTTGGGAGGCCAAGGCAGGCGGATCACCTGAGGTCGAGAGTTCAAGACCAGCCTAGCCAACATGGTGGAACCCCACTTCTACTAAAAATATAAAAATTAGCCAGGCATGGTGGTGGGCACCTGTGATCCCAGCTACTCAGGAGGCTGAGGCAGGAGAATCGCTTGAACCCAGGAGGCAGGAATTGCAGTGAGCTGATATTGTGCCACTGTACTCCAGCCTGGGTAACAGAGCGAGACTCTATCTCAAAAAAATAAATAAATAAATAGGCTTAATGTAGTAGAAAGTACAGTTATTAGAAAATAGTTTTACTATATATATACACACACACACAGAGTAAAACACTTATCTATATGTAATTGTATTTCTAATTCATTTCCTCAATTTTAATACCATATTCAATAGTTAGTACTAAGAAGGAATATATCGAAAAATCAAGAGCATGGACTTCAGAGCCAGACTGCCTATGTTATTTTGGGCAAGTTACTTTACCTTCAGTGCTTTGGTTTCCTCATCTATAAATGAAAATACTACTACTTACCTCACAGGGTTGCTTGAAGATTAACTAACTAAAACTACATCTCCTCAATTCTAAGACTCACAGTTATTCACAGTTAACAGCACTGAAATCAAGATGTATTTTATAATCAATAAAAGTATCATAGACTCACTGGCAGCAGTTTTTCTTTCTTAGCAGTACATAAAATAATGGTGTAGTCTTATCATTACTGGCAGCTGAGATTCCGTGAAATACAATTAATAAAATGCTTAGAATAGCCTTTGGCACAGAGTTAAGTGCTATATAAGTATTTGCTATTATTATTTTCTAGCACTGCTGAAACCCTCATTCACACAATTTTTAAATAACGTCTAACATTCTATAAACATTAATTCACACGATACCTATAAAATATTCACACACACAATTTTTAAGCAACATTCAATAAACATTCACTCACACAATTTTTTTTTTTTTTTTTTTTTGTGGAGTCTCACTCTGTTGCCCAGGCTGGAGTGCAGTGGTGCGATCCTGGCTCACTGCAAGCTCTGCCTCCCGGGTTCACACCATTCTCCTGCCTCAGCCTCCCAAGTACCTGGGACTACAGGTACCCGCCACCACGCCCGGCTAATTTTTTCTATTTTTTTTTAGTAGAGACAGGGTTTCACCATGTTAGCCATGATGGTCTCCATCTCCTGACCTTGTGATCCACCCGCCTCGGCCTCCCAAAGTGCTGGGATTACCGTGCCCAGCCTCATTCGCACGATTTTTAAATAACGTCTCTCAATATGACCTCGAAATCTTCTAAGGACTCTTTACCTGGAAATTCATGATGTTATTGAAGGTTCTGGCAGAGGTTCCCTCTGCGAAGGGGGATCTCCCATAAATCATCTCATAGGCAATCACGCCCACTGACCACCAGTCACAGTCCAGGCCGTAGGTGCCTTTTCCGTCCGCATTCATCACAGTCAGCACTTCAGGAGCCATGTAATCCGGGGTCCCAATTGGGAGTCTGGCATTCACCTAGAATCCCATCAATAAAACGAATACAGCAAACTTTCAATTATCCTCAAGTAGACTGCCAACAGCCACATTTCAGACACAAGCTGATTTGCCACTGATTACTATTCTCCCAGGCACTGAAACCTGCTGTCAAGTGGCACACTGTCAGGAAATGCAAACGCTTTACTAATTTAAAAAAAAAAAAAGCACAAAGCATATAATGCAATCCAAGGGCAAAAGGGCAAGAGTTGTGGATGATACACATACACCCTTTGGTGATATGAATGAGAGTTGGATATATACCGGGAATGGAAGATGTCTTTTCTAATACAAGTTTTTGATATAATAGAACTTCTCTTATGATAACAGCAAAATGATAATAAACTCTAAAAATGAATCTAAAAGATCAACCTAACCATTACTAGAAAACTGGTGGTTGGCCAGATGCAGTGGCCCATGCCTGTAATCCCAGCACTTTGGGAGGCCAAGGTGGGTGGATCATTTGAGGCCAGGAGGTCGAGACCAACATGGCCAACATGGTGAAGCTCCATCTCTACTAAAAATACAAAAATTAGCCAGGCATGGTGGTGCAAACCTGTGGTTCCCAGCTACTTGGGAGGCTGAGGCACAAGAATCGCTTGAACCCAGGAGGCGGAGGTTGCAGTGAGCCAAGATTGAGCCATTGCACTCCAGCCTGGGTGACGAGACTGTTAAAGAAAACAAAACAAAACAAAACAAAACAAAACTGGTGGCTAACTGGCAATATAATATTACAAATCTCAAGTTCAAAAATTTGGAAAACTGCCTTTGGAATTAATGTTCCTACTTCAACCCACCCACAGGGCAAGACATGATAATTAACTTCCACCCAGGGCCCAAGGTTAATGAGTTCCTTTTCCTCATCCCTAACGCTTGTTCCTATGATTCCCTCCCCGACTGTTCAGAACCCAGGGGCTTATAATTCAATGGCACCCAAGCACTTGACCTTGGCAAAGAAAGGTTAGGACAATACAGGAGGGCATTTTATAAAGCTAAATGTATTCCATTTAAAGGACCGACCTTTTTTCCTGAGACTTTGTCCTTCTGACTTTTTTAGTGTTTAAATGTCCTTTGTTTCTTGATATGCTGTTGATGAAAGTAATAGATTTTCTTCCCCTCATACCCACCCCTGTCTAGGCAGCTTAGTAAGCTGGCAACCCCTTTGGTCTTCAAAATTATTTTGACGTTTTACTGAGCCATGAAATTTGAAGTATAGAGATTCTTTCTCTAACTTTTCTCCCCACCAAAACAGAGAGGCCCTGATTTTAGTTATATAGTGTGTTGACCAGCTGTCCTATAACTCTATGTCATAATGGGCTTCTCTCAGGTCAGCAGTATATATGGTGCAAAAGAACTTTTTCCTCACTAAACGATAGTAAGTGCCCCTGAGTGAGCCAAGAGATTTTGTGGGTAAGGCCACATACCTTGAAGACTGGGCTTTACACCAAGAAAGTAAATTTGCTTTGCTTTAACCGGGTGTGGAGAGGAAAGTGAATGTTTAGTGAGGACATGATGAGGTCTCCTCTCCCCAGGGCTGATTCTGGATGAAGCTCTTCCAGCCTGTAACTTGAATCTCGTCCATTCCTCAACCATGAGACTTTCTCATTATATGAAACACACCTATTCTTCCCTCTCCTCTCTTTTCACCCCTTCCCTCGGGCCCACATTCTGATACAGGTTTTTCCAAGCCCTAAACTCAGACAGCAGTGTGATATGACCATTCCTGACATGGATTGTCCACTGCTTTGGGCAATAAAACTTCCACTATAAATGCCCCTTCAAGAAAGCCAGATGGTCACACCATCCGAGAAACCTACAAGCAGGTTTGGCTTGATGAACAGAAGGGGAGACAAAGGGGAAAATATTTGGTCTAAGACAAAACCACAGGGTGACTTAAGCTTAAAGAACTGAAAATAGGTTAAGTCAAGGAGAAGCCTTAATATGCTAGGAAATCTGGGCTGATATTGTTTTTTTAATATGTATGTAAATGCTAAAGAGCTCAGCACAGGATTAGGATTAAACTAAAGGGTTTTGGTTAAAATGCACTGACAATAAGCAATAGTTTTTGGGGGTTTTTTTGTTTGTTTGTTTTTTGTTTTTTTGAAATGGAGTGTCACTCTGTCGCCAGGCTGGAGTGCAATGGCGCGATCTCAGCTCACTGCAACCTCCGCCTCCCAGGTTCAAGCAATTCTCTTGCCTCAGCCTCTCAAGTAGCTGGGACTACAGATGCGTGCCACCATACCCAGATAATTTTTGTATTTTTAGTAGAGATGGGATTTCACCATGTTTGACCAGGATGGTCTCGATCTCTTGACCTCGTGATCCAGCCATCTCGGCCTCCCAAAGTGCTGGGATTACAGGTGTGAGCCATGGAGCCTGGCGCAACAGATACTTTTTAAATAACAAAACAAGAGAAGGAAAACTATAACATCTTGATTTGACTAGGTAATGAAAATGCTACTATATTGTTGATTAAATACTTATCCTTTATGTCTAATGACCTTGCAGGACCTAACTACACAATTGTCCAATACATACCATTTGCATTTATTGGATTTTGTTTTATTGCCACAGGCTGTTCAGGAATATTCAGTTCTCCTTATTTGCAGCTCACAGGGCACAGTCACTTGTTCACAACCAAAGAATTGCAAAAACGGAATTGACTAGGGCATGTTTCTCAGGATGACCCAGGCAAACAGTATGAATTGCCAATGCCTCATTTTCAAACTAATGATGAGACTTATCAAAGAAAGATAATTCCCCAACAAATTTTTGCCCCCTAACAGATACATGATTATACACATTTATGCACAATCATTTTCTAATTTTCTACATTTTATTAACTTGTACTAGAAAGCTATGAAGGGAAAAATACCCACTGGCTTACTCTTTAAGTGCGTAATAGTGATTAGCAAAGGCATTACTCTTTGTTAATTAACAAATCTCTAAGTGTGTAATAGTAATTAACAAAGGCTTTTAATGACAGTTAATGACTGCTAAGTTCCCATTAGTCACTGACCCCCAAGCACATTAAACCTGTTCAACATGTAATCTCACATGTCCTGATTATGATTTTGCAATATGCTTTCACTCTCCTCTGGTAGCAATTCAGCCAGTTAATCTGAGTGAGATGTTAAAAGTGAACCTATAGTAGGGGCCCAGCCTGCCTGCAGGAGGACACTATCTGATAGGGCCCAGGTACTACTTAACTTAGTTAATTTTTTTTAAGACAGAGTGTTGCTCTGTCACCCAGGCTGAAGTGCAAGTGCAATCTCAGCTCACTGCAACCTCCACCCCCCCAGATTCAAGCAATTGTTCTGACTCAGCCTGTTGAATAGCTGGGACTACAGGCACGCACACCCAGCTAATTTTTGTATTTTTTTTTTTTTAGTAGAGACAGGGTTTCACCACATTGGCCAGGTTGGTCTCAAACTCCTGACCTCAGGTGATCCACTCACCTCAGCCTCCCAAAGCGCTGGGATTACAGGCATGAGCCACCATGCCTGGCCAACTTAGTTAATTTTTACTGTATTGACAGGGAAGAAAATAAACAAGTTCAGAAGACTATATGAGAATGACTAGGGAACAGAAGAGTCTGCCATATTTTGGGAGAAAGGGGGAGAAGGAAAAGAAAGGAAGGAAGGAAGGAAGGAAAGCGGGGGAGAACTGAAAGAGGGAGAGAGGGAGGGAGAAAGAAAAGAATGAACTTAGCAGATTCTTTTACTAACAAAAAGCAGATGAGGATGAAAGAAAACCAGTGTCTTCCTCCTCCTAACTCCTTTCCATAAAATGCTTCAACATGGTGAAACCCCATCTCTACTAAAAATACAAAAATTAGCCGGGCATGGTGGCAGGCACCTGTAATCCCAGCTACTTGGGGAGCTGAGGCAGGAGCATCGCTTGAACCCAGGAGGCGGAGGTTACAGTGAGCCAAGATCGCCCACTGCACTCCAGCCTGGGGGACACAGCAAGACTCTGTCTCGAAAAAGAAAAAAAAAAAAAAAAGAAGAAATGCTTAAACATAAAACTATTTAAACCTAGCTTTACCCATCAAGCTGCCTAGGGCATAAGTGTATACCTGCAGAAGCGGGGGGAAAAGGAGTTCTCACTACGTTGTTCCTCTTGTGGAAAATAAAGCTTTTGACTCCTACATAAATCTAAAAAGGGCTATCTCTTCTGGGGTTGCAACTGCTAAATGGGGTTATCACTTACCATGCTACACAATGTGGTTTATCTACAATCTCCTTACGACCATTTTCATGATAGCCTAATGAGATAGATTGGAACTCAGCTGTTCACCATTCTTTGAGATTCTAATAAAGAGAAGTGGGTGACCTAAGTCACACAGCAGGTCCTACAGTCACTAGGCCCTGTGTTTACTAACAGAAAATACTCCAAAGCAATGTTCTGAATGAGAAGCTTGAAATAAGACAATGGATAATGGAAAACCGAACAAATCTAAGATTCACAGGTATCCAAAATACAAAGATAATATGTGGGGGTAATAGGCAAGGGACTGATTGATTTGGGGTAAGTAATATATGATAGTTTCAGTAAATGTGGATTATATTTTATACAGTATACCATGAGTACAGGTAACATTTAGAACCTACTTTAGGCCTACAGACATTTCATTCAAAGGAAATATGTTTAACCCAATACCACTATTAAAAATATCCCCCCAAAAATTATAATTTTATATCCACACTTGACTTGATCTAGTGTGCAGATTATTGCTCTTCTATAACAAAAGGGACTTTGTACTTAATGCAAAAAATTCCTTTTTATCTGCTTGTCACGTTCCAACCCTAAAAGCACAAGGGAAAAAAGAGAGGCAATATTCTCAAGTGTGTGGTACTGAGTGTCATATCTCCTTGACCAAAATAATCAGAGATTGAGCCTTTGTTGCAAATAAACCCGGGAGGCTCCTCACCTGGAGTGAAGGTTGTTACAATTATAACTGAAAAGGGTGGTTTGAAGCACTGAAAAATAGAAACTGGGAACCCTGTCTCTCCATCAAAAGCTCTGAAGAGAATGACCTCAGACACAGAGATAGGGTCTTATTCTTAATTCCTCTTTATTTACCAAGCAGTAACTTTGGATCTTGATTAGTTTTCTGAGCAGGTTTTCTTACTGCAAACGCATATTCCTGTCTAATTAATTAGCTTTCTGATGCTTCTCAACCTACTGCAGGCATGATCCACTAAGGGTTCTCAAATCCCACTTCCCCCAGTCATCCCATCCCAGGCACATCTGGCAATGTCTAGAGACATTTTTGGTTATCTCAGCTGGAGGGGAGGGTGCTAATGGCATCTAGGAGGAAGGGGTCAGGGATGCAGCTAAATATCTTATACAGGGCAGCCCCCACAACAAAGAATTATTCAGATCAAAATGTCAGTAGTGCTGAGGTTACACTGTCAATGTACCTATGCTTCAATTTATTTCTAAATTCATGATTTTTTTTAATTTCACGAATGCAGCATATAAATTTGTTTTAAGACAGGGTCTTGTTCTGTCACTCACGCTGGAATGCAGTGGTGCAAACATGGCTCGTTGCAGCCTCAACCTGGTGGGCTCCAGCGATCCTCCTGTCTTGGCCTCCCATGTGGCTGGGGCCACAAGCATGTACCACCACGTCTGGCTAATTTTTTTATTTTTTGTAGAGACTAGGTCTCATTTTGTTGCCCAGGCTGGTCTCAAACTCAAGTAATCCTCCCGCCTCGACCTCCCAACGTGCTGGGATTACAGATGTGAGGCACTGTACCGGCCCATATAAATTTTTTAATCCTAAGTGATAAAACTTTGCATTATTTTAACTTTTTTTCTGTGCTTTATTCCACTAAGATTAATACCTAAGTTTTCATGCCTGTTTCTAAATTGTATATAATTTTTTAAACATAAAATGCTTTGTAGTTATAGCAATATAATCTAATTTTTAATGTAATGATCAAGTGAACAGATTACAAGAAAATAAGCTGAAATAAAGAATAGTGCTGAGGTTGAGAAACTCTGACACTGCACAACATGGGGAACTTATTTTTCCAAGGGCCTGAACACCAGGAAAATTCTCTCAAGTAGGTCTCAGGTCTGCAGAACACACAGGCCACATGCTAGAGAGCAAAACGTTCACACAACTCCAAGCCTTTTCTTAACATCAGCCTAACAATACCCACCTTTCTGAAAGCAGTTTAAGAAAAAAAGAAAATTTTACATATTGTCCTTTATATAAAGGATTTAACTCTCAGACTTGAGGGGCGTTTTGAAGAGCAGCTTCTCTAACCTCTTAAATTGTGCATTTTAACTAGCATCAGTTTTTTGTAGAGAAAGTATAAAAGATCAAGTTCCCAAGGATTTGTCTAGGTCACCAAGTGGTTCAGTTGTAAAATCAGTCTTAAAACCTAAGTCGATTTTCTCTTAGACATATCCTTTTTTGCAGAGTTGACTTCAAAATTCATATTTTAGTACATACCAACTTTATTAGAAGATTTTTAAACTCTAATCTTTTTTTACTTTGTCATCTTTTTCCTAAAGTATTCTCGCTCTTGATCTCAGTAGCTACCCTCCTGCCGTCCTACTTAGCATGTGGAATAGAGTGCAATTTCTACCAAAGATCCAAGACTTAAAAATGACACTTTGAGCACTTGGTTCTTAACACTTAAGGATATTTGGTTCAAATGCTCCAGTGATTAATTTCCATTTTGCTGCATAGGAAATAGAGGATTTGACATACAGGAGTTTCCGTTTCATCGAAATATTTTAAAGTGAAAAAGATAACATAACAGAAGACAGTCTGTAACAGGCAAGGAAAATGAAGGGAGAAACAAAATAAGCTTTTTCCTTTATTTCTAACCAAACTATAAGAATGCTCCTAAAAATGTCCTGTAGGGTATTAACAGGCACTATAAATGAAAAGGTGCCACCGTCTGGGAAATAGTTCTGTGTCCCCTCCCGACCCCCATACACTGCCAAAGGTGAACGTTGTTCACCATTTTATCCCAACACTTCCCAAACTTAGGAGGACCAAGAATACTTTTTAGTATTAACTCTATTAAGCTATCTTATTCCATTTTGTTACCATCTTGTTTGAATTCATTTTTGCAGCAGATCCAAAATCCACCAGCTTGATGTGTCCTGTGCGGTCAATGAGAATGTTCTCGGGCTTGATGTCTCTGTAAGAAAATCAGGACCATGAATTGCCTCCTCCATCCCAATCAGGAAGCAACTGCTAACCTAGAATTTCAATTGAGCCAAAAATCTTTGTTTATGTATTCTGCTATATAGACCTCCTCTACTGATGGATATAAACGATTAGCATACATTTTGCAAAACAAAGTTAACCAAAAGGCAAGGAGAGAGAGAGGGAGGGAGGGAGGGAGGAGGAGAGGAAGAATAGGAGGGAAAGAAAAGAGAAATGAAATACATATTATTCAATGGATTATTTCTCCTAGAGATACACATTTTACATTAGGAAAACTAAGGCCAAAAGGAGCTATGAAATTTTCCCAAGGTTATGTAGCTAGCCAATGGAAAAGCTGAGACTCTATCTCAGGTTTTGTGATTCCTGGCCTAACAATCATTGTATTCCCACAACATTCTCAGATGTACACAAAACATCAGATGAGTGAAGACATGAAGAACTACTTATCAACTGAAGATTCTGTAAACCAGGCGCGGTGGCTCATGCCTCTAATCCCAGCACTTTGGGAGGCCGAGGTGGGTGGATCACGAGGTCAGGTGATTGAGACCATCCTGACCAACATGGTGAAACACTGTCTCTACTAAAAATACAAAAATTAGCTGGGCGTGGCGGCGTGTGCCTGTAATCCCAGCTACTTGGGAGGCTGACACAGAAGAATCACTTGAACCCGGGAGGCAGAGGTTGCAGTGAGCCGAGATGGCACCATTGCACTCCAGCCTGGCAAGAGAGTTAGACTCCATCTCAAAAAAAAAAAAAAATCTTTGTAAATTCTAACATGCAGAGTTACAGAAGTACAGCTCCATGGTCTTACACTACTGTGTGGTATGACATTTCCTTCTGCAAACCAAATTCAGTTCTTCTATCATATAATCCAAATAACCCATGCAAGAGTTCCCAGTCTTACTTAGCTACATTACCAGATCTTACTAGCAAACCTGAGCACATTACAATTCTAGATCTATTGCACTGCTGGATGGGCAAGCTGAAATGTCCTCCCTTTTGGAAAGTCTGCTTTCAGCCAGTTATTGGTAGACTGGCTAAAAATTGGATGGAGCGTTATCTTGATCCTGAAATCATTCATCCGCTCATTTCCATGCAGGAACTCTTATGCAACACAGAAAAATCCTCAGCATAAAAATGCTATCAGAGTCTCACTTACCGATGCACATATCCCATCTGATGAACACTGTGAACAGCCAAAATCAGTTCAGCTAGGTAAAACTGAATCAGGTTTTCATCTAACTGGTCCTCATACCTATTCAAAAGTGACAGCAAGTCCCCTCCAGGCTGATATTCCATGACCTGTAGAGAATGCCAAAGTTACTAATTATTCACGCACCCAAAAATAGGGAATGCCTCAATTAGATCCTCAAATATCACCCGACATGTTACAATAACAAGGTCTCCACAAAACAAAGAAGATGTGTAAGGCACACTGTAAGTCACATAGGATGAAGTCCCTGCCCTAAGAAAATTACATCTGTTACCCAGGGGAATCAATATAATGAAAGACTAGTCCCAGACACCATGCACGGTGTTTGCAAGGCAAGCTTGAAAAGTTGAATTAAATCCACCCACTTCCCCACCCACAAGTTGACACCCCAGACATTCCCTAGGATTAGGTACAGTGTAGACGGATATTCCTAGAGGGCAACCACTCTCTTATATCCTTTCTGTATTCCTCTCAGCACCCAGCAGAATTCAGAAGGCTTGCAATAAATGTGATACAATCTTTTCCTTTTATAGTCAGTGTGGAAGGCAACTGACAGCCTCTATTCAAAATTTAAATGTGAAAATATCCCCTTTGACCTAGTAATTCTACTTCTAACAATTTACTTTACAGGTACTTACAATAGTTTGCAGATAAATAGAAAGATAAATAGATTCTTTGCAGTATTGTTTGTAACAGGAGAAAAAGCCATGGAAATCATTCAGCTATCCATCAAAGACAGGCAAAAATATGACATATGTAAACAATGGGATAAGAGGAAGATATTAAAAACAAATGGACTCCATTTATTCATACTGCCATGGAAAATTGTCCATGACAATATAAAGTGAAATCCTGTAAAGAATAAAGTACAACCCCTTTTTTGTAATAAATAAGGAATTATTACATGTGTTTGTACATACACAGGAAAAAAATCTTGAAGAAGAATATTAAGCCTCAAGTAAAATGTTTGATTAGCAAAAAGAAACTCCTCTACCCCAAGGAACTGAAATCCTTTCTCCTTTTGATGATAAACAGTTGTGATATTCCTGAGTCCCCAGGTGGCTATAAGGCCAGTTAGCCTGGGTGGCTTCAGCCTCCTGCTGGTGACTTCACCTCTCTGCCTTTCAGTTTCATCCTCTCCAAAACAGAGATAAGACTAATCCCCTTGCAGCACTGTGTAAGGATTAAGTAAGACAAGGTCCTCTGAGGGCCTGGCACAGTGCCTGGCACCAACATGAAGTCTTCACCTACCATTCAATTCCCATCCTTCCCCACTACTTTACTGCATGATCCTTTCTGCTCTGTCCAGCAAAAAGAACCCGTTTAGACAATCGCCGTAGCCATGTTAACCCTTATTGAGTTCTCCTGTCCTTCGCCCTGATTTCCCATTTTATTAGCCATGCTATAAATGTCTTGGAAGTTGTCTCATATGCTTTCTGGGAAAAGGCAAGATCTGAATATACTTCTTAAAAAAACACTAAATCTCACAAACTACTGCATTCCAAAAGCCAACTCGGGGATGTGAATTCTCACCATCATCCTCCAAACTCCTGCTTGCTTTTAGTCCAGAATTAGAAGAAAGCTCTAGACAAGTCAGAAGTAGAGCATCTGCACAGAGCCCCAAAGGCCTCAGGCTGGTCCAGTAAAATCTCCAGCAAGTGTGCCCAGCACCAAGGCAACCCCAAACCAGAGACCCCTGGAGAAGCCAGTGACTCGCGCATCCTCCCCAAGGGCTCCTTATAACCTGGGAGTCTACTCCATTCACATGGTTTCTGACAACAGCAGACATTAACCCAGACACCGGACAATTGCATTTGAAGAGTAAGGTTCCATTTGCACAACAATTGCTGAAAAAATTTTGATTTATGGACTGGGCACAGTGGCTCATGCCTGTAATCCCAGCACTTTGGGAGGCCGAGGCAGGCAGATTACGAGGTCAAGAGATCGAGACCACCCTGGCCAACATGGTGAAACCTCGTCTTTACTAAAAATACAAAAATTAGCTGGGCATGGTGGTGCATGCCTGTAGTCCCAGCTACTCGGGAGGCTGAGGCAGGAGAGTCGCTTGAACCCAGGAGGCGGAGGCTGCAGTGAGCTGAGACCACACCACTGCACTCCAGCCTGGCGACAGAGCGAGACTCCGTCTCAAAAAAAGAAAAAAAAAAAAAAATATATATATATATATATATGAGATTTATGAACAAGAGGAACACTTAGAAGGGGCAGCACCTCACATACACACTTTCTTTCCCCCAAGTTCCTAGCAGACATTAGTTACTCACCCCAGTCCTCGAGGAGCCCACGGGAGCCACCTGGCTGCCTTTAGCTCACCCACTCATCCCAACCTGGTTCTCCACAGGCCCTGGGTATGTGGGTGAATGCTAATTTATATGTCTGTTTTAAATATATACTGCCATTAAAAAGGTCTTAAATATCCAAAAAAAGAAAAAGGAAAGAAATTCACAGATAATAACAGAAGTACTTATACTTTTAGTACTGAAATGTCTTAAAATAACAACAATGCATATTTATGACGACACACCACAGTTATAAATTTCCTATGGCTGTATTAAAGATGTGAAAAAAACAGTATGGCTTGTGAGTTTAAGGCTGAGAAAGTCATATGCATAGCAGAGCAGCCACCGGCAACTCTTAAGAACTGACAAACTGAACACAACTTAGTATTTGGCAGCTACTCCTGACATTCTATTTGCAGTGACCAGTAAAATAGTTCAGAAAACAAGAGCCAGCTCGTAAAGAAGCAGAAAGACATGTATTCTTTGCTTCTATTCAGAAGATCCAACTTCCTGACTGAAAATCCCCTCCTAAATCAGATCAGTCTAAGAGTGGAACAACTTTCCATTTCTTCAAAACCAGGGTTGATTGAGAAAACAAGCAACAAAAATTACCACAGCTGCTACACAGCATGCATCACAACATGAGGCCAAAACAGACACACTCAATGACAAACCTCTAAATAGACCAGGTCCTTATCAAAGATGCTAATCAAACTTGACCCACCATTCCAGGTTACCACACCAAAAATTCCAACAGTGCACCATTAGGAGAATGTAGTTCAGACATTTACTGAGTCAATGTGGCTATCCCAAGATGTTACCCATATCCCAAAACTATACTACTGGGTATAGCTGCTCATTCTAGTGTGAATGGAGCCCACAGGGAAGATGGCTTGTGTGTGGCCAACTAAGACTTATTCAATCATCATGCTGTTAGAGCTTAAAGATACAATACAGACCCAGGACTTCAGTGCTTTCAGAAAATACATTTGGATTGTTAAAATGGTACCAAGAGGTTCTAAAAGCATCTAAAGTAACAAACTAGGCATCTTCAATTCTTCTTACCAGGTGACTTGCTGTGAACCAAAGACCAGGGTCAGCAGAAAATGATGAAGAAGTTAAGGACAAAGTCGCCACCCAGGTTGTGACCGAGAGTCCATTCACAGCATCTGATTTTGTCCAAAAATGTAACTCTGTGCCTGACTTTTACTATTCAGAGATGCTCAGTAAGGCACTGATCCTCAAAACCAGGATAGCCTTGGCTTCTACCCCAACACAACTATAGGTCCTCTAGGTTAGAACTTCCCAAGCCTGATTGTCCATCAGAATCACCAGGAGAAGTGTTTCTTAAAAATAAGACAAGCCAGGCATGATGGCTCATGCCTATCCTAGCCGTTTGGGAGACTGAGGCAGTAGAATCACTTGAGGTCAGGAGTTTTGAGACCAGGTTGGGCAATAAAGCGAGACCCCACCTCTAATAAAAACAAAAAATTTAAAAGAAAATAAGATAGACTCATCTAAATCAATATTTGAGTGCCTATCATGTGCCAGCCACTATTCTAGATACTAGGGAAACAGCAGTGAATAAAACAGAAAAAATCTCCACCTCCATACAGCTGATGTTCTGGTATAATGAAAAAGAGTTCTGTTTTTTCTTTTTTTTTCTTTTTTTTTTTCTTTTTTTGAGACGAAATCTCGCTCTGTTTCCAGGCTGGAGTGCAGTGCCACGATCTCAGCTCACTGCAACCTCTGCCTCTCGGGTTCAAGCAGTTCTCCTGCCTCAGCCTCCAGAGTAGGACTACAGGCACGCGCCACCATGCCCGGCTAATTTTTGTATTTTTAGTAGAGATAGGATTTCATCATGTTGGCCAGGCTGGACTCGAACTCCTGACCTCAAGTGATCCACCCACCTCGGTCTCCCAATGTGCTGGGATTACAGGTGTGAGCCACTGTGCCCGGCAAAAATTTTAAAATGATAATAATAAGCAGTATAGTAAGGTAAAGTGTATATCTTTCCCATCCCAACTACTTAGGGAGCTTAAAGGATTCCAGGGAATAACCCCAGACTTCATGGATCACACTCCATGGGTGGGAATCTACAGTTTTAAGGAGCTACTGGGGTGATTCAGATGCAGCCAGCCCAGTACCATGTGACCCACTGCTGAGGAGGATGTGGAACAAATATGGCTCCTTTCTCCAAGTGAATTAAAAGTTTCTATAGCAGCAATGCCCTTGATGAAACATGGCTTTCATATAGCCATCGCCTCTGCTGCTTATATTTTTTTCAGTGACTACCTGGAGCCTTTCTGCATATCAAGACAAGATCACTGACAACAAAGAGCTGGAAAATAACCAGTCCATCAGCACTGAAGCCAATGATCTTCCCTCCTTGCAAGGACTGGAGATGTCTCCTGCACACACAACGAGCAGCTGCAGGTCACCCAAATGATGATCACCAAGGCATAGCAATCAAAGGCTGCAGGCACAGGAGGAGGAAAGAGTCCTAGAGTGAAACAGCCCAAAACAATGTGGCAACCCCGCTGATGGCAGAGAAAGCACAGCAGCTGACAGACGAGCCTAGCTTGGAGCTATAATGGACTTGCTCTTTTAAAGCAAAGACTTTCAGGCCAACAGAGACAGACCCTTCTGATGGCAGCAGCTGCAGATGCTAATTAAAGGGCAAATCTCACATGTGTTCAGTTTGGAAGTAGCGGCTGCTTCTCTGTTGGTGTTTGCATCCATACCCCAGTACTAGGAAGGCAATTTCCATCCATTGTGTTGCATTTGAAACA